AGCTTATTTCATGAAAAAAATTGCCTGAAACATTTACCAACGTTTTGATTATGCAACATGTCATGTTGCTTTTACATTTATCATCTCGTTAAATCGCAATATCGTTAGGGTGAAGGATCGTTTGTGTACCGAAAATGATAAATACACCGCTAATCCATCAAAATATAACACGACAGGGGTGAAGCCAGCACATCAAAAGCGCCAAATCGCACTGTTTGAACGTAATGTTACCTCCTTGGCGAAAGTAGACCTCATTTTTCAAACTATTTCTCAAACAAAGTCTGTTTCCACTATTATACATTGCCAATAGTCAATTTTTGTTGGGTGATTATGGCCTATTTCCTTCTGAAAAACCTTTTTCGCAGCCAAAGAAAATTAAACAAAAACTAAATTAAATTTGCATTGTTATGTCTATCACACTATTGTAAGGCTTTCATAAAAATTGTCTATTAAATTTATGAATTAGCCATATACCAGTTCAAGTATTGTTCGTGGAGAATAATCCAACCATTAATAAAATCACTCGTTATATCGTTGATATAGACTGTAACGAAATAATGTTAGCAATTTTTCAATTTATTACTGAACAAACCAAGTTTTATTCATTATCAGTTTGATATATTGAGGAAGAACAAGTCTCGGAATTGGAAAATAACGACTCATGCGTAAAGTGCAGGTTTGTTGGAGGCAAAAATCTCAGTCTTTATGAAATTTACCAAGACTTGTCAAAACTTAAGAAGTATTCACGCAAAACATTGCTAATTGTGTTAAGTCTGTTAAAGTCGAGTGATTTTCTTTACGTAAATGTGCTATTTCATAATCTAACGGTTACGCGAACAACCTAGTAATCCTTGCGATTTTCAACGCGGAAAATTTCTAGCTGTACGCCCTAAATTGTTAATAACAACTATATATTTAACATTAGAACAAAAAAAAATCTGCAAGGGCGCGGGCAGTAGTCACATTTTGCGCGTGAAATTCATAGTGGACTATCTAGAATAATCAAAATTAAATTCGATGAGTAAAAGTGGAGTTAAAAAACAAATAGGAAAAAAAACGTTCGACCAAAAAACGTTCGCTACCGCTTAACACAGTTAGCATAGCACGGCACCTTTATCGGATAAATGATAAAGTTAAGCGGAAAAATAACAGACCTGTCTGCTGGGATGGACCCGTGCCACCTTATTGCTAATAAAATTCTAATGGCGCACCAACCTACGCGTTTTACCATTGCCACATTTTTCGTGAAATTTCCTAATTACCTGTTGAAATCAAAATTTGAAGAATATAAAACCACGCATAAATGAAATGGACTTAAGATTTCAAGACATGTTTCCACAGATTTTTTTTGTAATATCACGATGCAAATATCACAAAAAAATCATATCATTACGAATATCCACCAAAAGGAGAATTGAAGTTCAGGCACTGATTAAGCGGGAAGAAATACCGTATAAATTTAATTAGTAAAGCCTCACTTATAAGGTGAAGATAATATCTATTTGGCAAAGAAATCAGGGTTGACATTTACCAGCGAATGTCGCTGGGATCATCGAGTGACATTTCCACTCATACATAAAAAGTACCAAAAGGTTAAAACGAGCCCAGAATGAAGACCGTAGTTCGAGAAAAAATAAAAGGTCGATAAATTTAGACGAGACCTTAAAAGAGGAAGGTAAAAGGAGAGAGAGAGTAGACCAGAGCAGACTGAAACCGTCTCCTTCAATTGAGACTATTTCTGTGCATTTCTCCCGAGAGATAAGAGATTTCTATTCCGTTCTGTACTGTTAGGAGCGGAATAAACGTCTTCCGACCAAGCCCTTCGCCGGATAATTGATAAAGTTAAGCGGAAATATTACAGACCTGTCTGCTGGAATGGGCCCGTGCCGCCTTATTGCTGATAAAATTCTAAGGGCGCACGCAACCTAGGCGTTTTACCATTCTTGGACAATTGTTTGTACATCTTCAATTCAATCTCCCCTAATGGAAGAGACCAATTTGATACATTCTCTCCAATTATAAATAATCCATTATACTTCGTGGTCCGATTGACCAAATAACTTATTTCAATTAATTAATCTTTATGTAAGGTATTGGTTGAAATGAAAATGTCAGTGTCATGAGCGGGATTCGTACCCACGACCTTCGGTTCAATAGGCCGCTGCTCTAAACACTTGAGGTATCGTGACTTCGATCACTCGGACACCAACTCCCCTTCTCAACCTACATTATAAATAATGTAACATTGAAAAATAGTCTAGTATTTTCAGCCTAATGGACGAAGATTTTTCCCACTAAGCCTCATTTGTTCCTATTGTGACCAAACTTTTCATATTAATAACGGTGATACCTTATCAGATGTACGACATAAGATAGAAACGTTCTCTCCAGACTAGGAGAACAATGAACTCATTACAAACTATGTCAATAGGTTATAAATCTTAATGGATAGCATACTAAGAAATGAGGCGAAGATAGTAGAGCGTAATAACAACAAATATTTTAAACCACACGTCTTATAAAAAAGCTCAAGAAGCTGATGCCTTTATTAGATGATAACGGCGTAAAATGAAAAAGACAGCTATCGCAGTAGCAGTGGCAGCTTTCACAACTGCAGTCCAGGCAGCAGCTAAAGATAATACCTGGTATGCCGATGCTAAATTAGGTTGGTCACACTTTGAAGATACCGGCTTTCATCCTTACGATGAAAATGTTGGAAGTGGTAAAACTAAGCTCGATCAACTAGGCGCTGGTGCCTATCTCTGGGTTACCAACATAGTCAATATCTCGGTTTCGAATTAGGTTATCATTGGTTTGGCAGAATGAGATATTCTGGTCAACCAAATAACGTAGGTGAAACCGATGGGTGTTCAATTAACCGCTTGTCTAAGCAAGGAAATTTGGTTCAATTCTTACAAAGTAGATAGGAAGTAATCGGAACATACAACCATTGCATCTTGATGGCCTAAAAAGTCGAGTCATTTGTTACATACAAGAAGCAATAAGTACAGATATAAGATAACAGGTACATTAAAGAAACTGCAGACGTAGGAAGGACTCAGGAACTTTCTGTTTTCAACCTCCATGAATTTGGAACCACCCCTTGTAATACATATCTGCACATATTGGCTATTTATGATATCACGGAAAGAAATATTGAGGGTTTTGAAAAGGGTGATGGACTAATGCACATTTACCTTTATTATCTTTATTAAAAACCCAGCTTTGTAGTTTCTATTCATTTCTACTGTCGCAAAGGTTAACTAGGAAATCCCTTGAATGTAATGACCATATTTGTCAACCGTGCTTGAATGTTTTGCAAAGGTCTTTGTGCATCCTCATCCTTAAACTCTTCTGAAAATTTATTATATTTATGGTCTGATTGAACAAATTACTTCTTTCAATTAATTAACGTTTTTATGTAAAGTTTTGAAAAACGGCAAAACGTAGGGAAAATTCGAAAGGATGTAGGTTGAGATGGGGAGTCGGTGTCCGAGTGGACCGATGTCACGATAGCTCAAGTGGTTAGAGCAGCGACGTATTTAGCGAAGGTCGTGGGTTCGAATCCCGCTCGTGACCCTAACTTTTTTAATTCAACCAAAGCTTTACATAAAAATGTTAACCGTCTTAAAATATCAACTCCATTTGCCACCAGTGACTAGGCCTTTTTTAAATACATAACCCAACTATATTTGTATTTCATTTGCTAAATTGCGAAGAGAATATACGAAGAAAAATCGAAAGTCAGCATCCATTAGCTACACCATTGGAAAGTAAAATTAGAAACACCAGCCATCAAAATGAGCCTCGATCAGGTTTCACTCGGCGATCGATGTTGGTGATTAATCGAGAAAGGAAGCAATCCTACCACTTGCGGATTATCCGCATCAAATCGGGTTTCTTCAAAGGCCATCGCAAGCTGTTGTCTTAAGACCTGACGTCCGGATTTAAGGCAGGATTTGACGTCAGAGGATCAGTACAAGTATTACTAGTCATGAAATGTAGTTTATTTTTAGATAGTCCACCATGCTTACCTCAAAGCCGTGGGTCGATTAGGAAAAAGCTCAAAATAAATTATGTTTCAAAAGCTCGGTTTGGAGTTTCAAAAGAATAATACCCTGAATATATTTACAGGAAATAAAACAATGCTGCCTTAATGGTTGCAAAACTAAGTTTAGATAGTTTCATTTTTAAAAGAAACGAAAACCGTTTGTTTTGCCTCAACCTGCTTATAACCGAGCGAACCTCTATCTGGTTGGTTTTTCCCGGTCAATTTCTAACAAATTTTGGGAAAGCACAACCCTTCAAATTCCAATCATGATGTTAACTTTTTTTTTATGAAATACCAAAAAAAAGCAGGTTGAGTCAAATTTGAACTATTATTTATTATTTTTCAGAAATCGTGAGATGCGGTCTGGTGTGATGTAGATTTCAGAAAAACATTTTCTTTATTGTGCCAACGTTTCGATCTTTATTGAGATCATCTTCAGGGCACAAAGTGTTTGTCTTCTGTGTGAAATGTGCCATTCTCGCGTGTCGTGTTGAGAGTGCCCACGACACGCGAGAATGGCACAATTACACAGAAGACAAATACTTTGAGCCCTGAAGATGATCTCAATAAAGATCGAAACGTTGGTACGAAAAAGAAAATGTTTTTCTAAAACCTACGTCACACCATAACGCATCTCACGATTTCTGAATAATTATCGATTAACGGTCACTAATTACCACACTATTATTTATTATTATTTCTTATTATTTTTCTACCTTTTCAATTAATTATCTCAAATAATTTGTGCGTGATATAATTTTTAATATTTTAGTAAAATTATCATATTAACTAAATTATTAAGTGCGTTGTCAACTAAATAATGGCCACATGTGCTGCAATAACGCTATACATGCATGAAGTTTTGAATTAGGACAATTAATTCTCACTTCATTACTCGAAGTTAGACGATTAATCATTTGAAGTTAAGTCATAATAAACTATTACTCACTGTAACTGACTGGTATCTGGGTGGAAAACTTACCTGTAACATAATTTAAAAATTAGTTTTCTGGTTGTTTAGAACATTTAAAAACATTTAAAACTACAATTTAAAATATATTTCTGTTTCAAATGATTATAATTTTTATGGAAGGTCTTGGTTGAGATGAATGAGCTCCAGTCACGAGCGGGACACTAAGGTAAAAAGTATAATTAAATGAAATAATTAATAGGTCAATTATGACTGCAAAACATTTATGGATTAATATATTTCTATTATTATATTCAATTGTGATAGAATGATTACATACACACAGAGCTTTCTACTACGCGGACGACGCACTTTACAACACATGGGATTCGAACTCAGAATGCCAGCGTGGCAAATACGAATCTGACGCCCTGGCCACTAGGCCACCGCGGTCCCTAATTATTATTTCTACAGTCCTTTCCAAACAAATCTACAGTTTTTTAAACTCCTAGACTTTCCTGCCAGGAAATCAGGCAATTTCCTACATAATTTTTTTGTGCTTTAGCAAATCGTAGACATTGTCTATCTACAGCCTTTCTCCAAAGACCATGAAATGCAATAAAAAAGAGCTAAATTAGGGTTTTTTGTGTAATTACTTTGAGAAACGCAGATCCAGTCTTAACGATCATTGTTAATGTATTATTTGCTTTATTCGAATAAAAAAATTTTAATCCTGCCACAACGACAAAATTTACATCTATCTGTCTCAAATGACATGTTTATTAATTTCTTGTGGTATATAATAGAAATTTTACATGACAAGAAGTTCGATCTTTCATTCTATTTCGTTTGAAAATATTAATTAATGGAACTATAAAATCTATTAAGCATAAAGATTCTTCATCATAAACAATCATAAACATATTTTACGTAAGATTTAACTGATTAATACCTAATATAAAAATTTTAGGGGATTAAAATCCGTAAAAGATATATTTTTAATTTTTTAATATTTAAAACCGGCTAGGTGTGCACCTATGCCTGAGGGTTGCCCAGAAATGGAATGAGTCGATTCTTGCCTCGCCCTACTTCTTTCCCTGACGTGCGCCAACTGACGACGATTTTCCGCGTCAATATTTAAGGATGGAAACAATGAACAGTGAAATCGTGATTGAAAAGAACAACATTTTTACAATGTGGTATGCAAATTTTGCAAAACCTTCTTCAAGTTACACCCGAACTTGTGAACAAACAGTTTGGACGAACTTTGAGATGGAGAGCGAGCCGAGTGAGGCTTCATTGATCCAGAACGATGCCTAGAGGATCGATGGATGCTGTTGAAAAAGTTTAAAGGGAGTACAGAAATTATTAAGACTCCATGTTTCTTAACACGCATAATTTTTCGCTTCTCAAAGTTTCTTTTATTTTGAAATTATAGCAATAAAAAAGAGCTAAATGAGGGTTTTTTTGTAATTACTAGAGAAACGCAGATTCAGTCTTAACAATCATAGTTAACTGATTATTGATTATTAATATTCATTGAATCACTGAAATGTGCGTGCGTGCATGACAAAGAAAGAAAAAATAAAGTTAAAACAAAGGAGAGACATAGGATAAAGAAAAAGGAAGGGCGTAGGTAGGAATAAAATAAAGTAGAAAAAGAGAAAAAAGAAAAAGAAAGAGAGAGAAAAGTTGGAGAAAGAAAAGAGAATTAGAAGACCAAGTAAAAATGAAGTCGGAAGAGAAAGAGGGGAAAGGGAGAGAAAAAGGAAGAGAAAGAATGAGAGAGAAAGTGAATGAGTGAGTGAGAGTGAGCGCGGAAGTGAGTTAATGAGGGAGAGAGAGAGTGAATGATAGTAAGCGTGAGAGTGATCTTATGAGTGAAAGAGCGATTTAGATGTGGTGAGTGATTGAGTTAGAGTATGTGTCCAAATGCCATTCACAATTGACAGTGATTTCCAATATAGACTCCGTTCTGATATATATTTTACCAATGTTTTTATAAAAAATATCTGTTTGGGAGTGTACAAAAATGAAGGCAAACATATTATAGCATGTGAATTGAATCAGACAGGAATATAGAAAAACAGAGAGAAAAAAGAAAGTTGAAAACAAAGAAGAGACTTTATGATAAGGAAAAGGAATGGCGGAGTTAGGAATAAAATAATAAAATAAAGTAGGAAGAAGAAAAAAGAAAGTGGGAAAGAGAGAGAGAGAAAAGGATGAGAAAGAAAAACTGAAAGGAAAGACAATTAAAGGAGAAAGTGAAAATAAAGTAGAGAGAGAAAGAAGGGATAGGGAGAGAAAAAGGAAGAGAGAGAATGAGAGAGAGAGTGAACGAGTGAGAGAGTTAGAGTGAGCGAGAAAGTGAATTAATGAGGGAGAAAGAGAGAATCAGCGTGATCTTTTGAGTGAACAGAGTAAGCGTGAGAGAGATCTTATGAGTGAAAGAGCGATTTAATATAGTTAATGAGTGAGTTAGAGAATGCGTCCGAATGTCATTCAACGTTGACAGTGACTTCCAGTAGTCTCCGTTCTAATATACATTTTAAAAATGTCAACATTGAAACAACATCCTAAAATCCCATCTTAACGATCGTTACTTCCAAGTATCCCACAAAAATTCATTGTCTCCTATCCATCCTATTCTATAAGGTGTCCTACAGGGCAGCGTGCTCGCACATTTCCTTTATTCAATTTATACCTCCGACCTACCTACGCAACCTAACACTATCACCTTCACCTGATGATACCGCAATCCTTTCTCCTAATAAAGATCCTATCACAGCTTCCCGTAATCTCCAAAATCACTTACACATCCTAGAATGATGGCTCCATCAGTGGAGAATCAAGATCAACGAAACCAAATCAACAAACATAATATTTACACTAAACAAGAAAACGCTCGCACCAGTATACCTCAAAAACGATCTCATCCCAATTGAGAACCATGTACGATACCTCGGACTCTACCTGGACAAACGACTGACGTGGAACCGTCACACACGACTTAAGCGACTGTAACATGCTTAAACGACTACTCGACAGACGATCAAAACTTTCACTAACAAACAAAAGAAAACTTTACATTGCCCTCCTGGCCCCCTGTTGGACATACGGACTTGAACTTTACGGGACTGCTAAGCTTCCCAATCCTTTTAATCCAAAATCCTCAGAACAATAGTCAACGCCCTTTCTATGTATCGAATCACACCATCCATACCGACCTAAATGTCCCTTTTGTTATCGAGCTAGCCCAATCCCGCTACAAAACGTATCATTCCAAACTACCCCATCATCCGAACCCTTTCGTCAAAAACCTGTCGTCCACCACATTACCTAATAATCCCAACAAAAGACTAAAGCACTGCGACAACCTTAACACTTGACATCGGTCACGTAAGACGGAATCCATCTCGCTCAGCGTATTGATGTACTAACAGCTACCATCCAGTGATTAAGCTTTCATGCTACTATTATTATTGTTTATATGTAAATATTATATGTTTTACTTGATGCGTCCAAGAATGCAGTTGCAAAAAAATAAAATTATAAAAAGCATTGAAACAAATTTCGTTCATTTTATAAAGTGTCTCTTTAGGTGGATGTGCAAAAATGAAACATTTTTGAGGCATTAAACAAAAGGACTTAAGATTAACTAGATATGAACTGTGTAAATGTAGACAAACATCGATTATTTGATGATTGTATATCAACGGTATTGATCAAACAGCCAGCAAGTCATCATTTTCAAAACTTCGATTAAAATGTTCACAACAGTAAGCTGAAAAGCCGAATCTCGTTCGAAAAACAAAAAGCGATTATAATCTGATGGACGTTATTTATCCATCTGCCGTCTCAGCAGTTCATTAAAATCCAGACCACTCGGGATAAATTTGCCCACTTAGAAAATCGGAAAAATAAGTGTTCAAAAACAACTACCCGAAAAGAGGGAGAAATAATCCTTAACAAGGTGAGGAAATGTTATTTTAGAAGGATTTGGAAAGGGAGAAAGTCTGATAGGTACTGCCATAGAAGATATCGGCTCAAGTGTATTATTACCTTTCTTCAGAGTCACTTTCTTCCGAGAGACATATTTAGAAAGGAGTCTTGACTTTCGTCGGCCATTTTTTACCAACGTCGAACACCTCTTTAGGCGAATTTTTCTTCAGGCCTCACTTAATTAGAGGTTATTGGATAGATTTCAAACCAAAACGGGGAAACAGCATTAAGGCAGCAGCATACGGTAAATTATGGGTCATTAACTTGGAATTAGCCGATGCTCTAATTATGCCCGAGTCGACATTACCCCATCCACTTATCCTACCACTTAATGTCCACATTAGATTAATTATTTTTTATAATTTTAATCAGTATATGATGAAGAAAAAACAACTATTTAAGCCAATGAAAATTTCAGATTTTTTTATCAGAATGATCTATGCCAGATTTCATTAATTAAAAAAAAACGTGTGATTAATGAATGTTTTAGGATACACCATTTAAAACATTAATATTTAATTATGGACAATCGCCTAAAAAATTTACGTTCGATTGGATTATTTTTTAAAATGGCAATGGACGGATTCGACCATCCGTTGAAAGGGCGTTTAATCCAGTTCTCCAAACTTTTAAATGCCCCAGGCAGTACAAAAAATTTATAGGGTAATAAACGAAGAAAACCCTGTAAAATAACCAATTTTAATCAAAAAGAATTGTCTGCTTTAATAAAGTACACAGTGAAAAAATAGCCCATGACTTAAAACAACCGTTGGAACAATTTCAGGAATGATATTACAAAATCAAATTAGTTTCAATATAAGAGACAATGTTTCATTAAAAAAATGCATTCATGATTTCAATTAAATTAAGTTTTGAACAAATATGTAAACCTTTTGATATATTTGATCATATTGGCGTCATATCTTTAATTATTCATTATTCCCGCCATTTAGAAGAGAAAGAACAATTTTTATTCTAATTCAATACCTTTCAACTTTATCGTATATCTAAATATAAATATCTACAGGAAAAAGGTAAACTAAATGAACTGAAATGTGAATTAATTTCCG